AGTTAGGTTTATTCCTAGGTAACTTAAAGTTTTTGGTAGAATTGCAAATGGGATTGATTCCTTGATTTCTTTTTCTGCTGCTTCATTATTGGTGTAATGATATTTTAATCACATAAAAGTGCACATGTGAAAAAGGGCACAGAAGTGAATAACTGTGGCATGTTGGAGATCAGCAAGTGATCTTATAAAGGAATTAAGTTGTTTTCCTATAGGTAACATCAAGGATATAAATTCATGACACCATTAATATTAATTTTTAGGCAAGTAAGCTGCTAATATTTGTGATTAAACTCAGATTTTGAAAATTTAGTATTCATAATAAATGATGAAAAATCTACCTTTTACTATTTTCGTTCATAAGTATTAAAAAAAATCTCTTTTTACATTAATAAACTATTTCAACTATTTAATTTGTAAATTAAATTAAGAAATTAAATATAAATAATAGGATTCTTTTATCAGAAAACACTCTTTTTAATAAACATGAATTACAAAGGTACTTTGGAAAAACATCCCATATTAAAGCTTAAACAATTTTATTTGATTTGGATTATTGTGATGAATAACATTTCAGTATAGATCTATATTTATTTTGGACCATGATTTCTTCCTGCAGGTGGAACTTTTTTTTCTGCCTTTTTTTATTGTGCACATATTTTACCACAAGCTAGATTAAACCAGTGAATGTGAGGTTACCCAGTTTCCTTCTTTGTGTTTCTTTACTGGAGATTTTAGTGCAAGGCCATAGACTTAGATGCTCAGGATAAGAAGAATAATGTAAGAATATATAGAAAGACTGAACTATTCAGTTAAGTCACTGTATCTCTACTACTACCAGCTTGCCATCTTATGAGTTTTATATGATACTAGATGGTTTAATCTACAGATTGACTCTACCATTCTTAAAAATTGAATGGGGTAATTTTAACTTTTACTTGTGTTAAGCCCCTTTCCACAAATACCTACTTAGACATATCTTCTGAACCAAATCATAACCAAAGGCTAATTTCTGAATATGAAGCAATAGCAAATGTCATCTCTTATTTCATGTTGATGTTACTTTATTCCTCTGCAGGAATTCCTCCATTCCTCTGGTAATGGAGATTATGATTTTATTTTTGAAACATTCATTTCCCATTAGCCATTTAATACATATTTATTGAATGTCAATTATATTTAAGGCAATATTCTAGGTACTGAGGAAGAGAAGGAAAATAAGAAACAAAATTCTGCATGAAGTTTACATACTTCTAGGGGGTTTAACATGCTCTTTCCCTGGCTTTCAAAGAAATCTTACCAGGATCCATCACTTAGCTTTGAAATGGATTCTTTCATGTCACTAAGATACCTGTTCTTGGTCATAATTTTTAAAAAAGATATCATCCTTAATTCACACATATAGACATATGGTGCCAAGATAACTTTCATTGCCGATGCTATTGTTAGTTATACATGGCTAATTTAATGGGAGAAATAATTCCAAAGCTACAAATAGTCATTAATCTGTATCATAAATCAATAATTACTATTTTAAAAGTTTAAATAGGAAGTTTCTCTGCTTTTTTGCTACAAAATAAAAACATCTTCAGAATTACTTGTTTGAGTAACTTTTCAAACGTAAAATCCTAGTATGTCTCATAAAGTGCCAAGTAAGGGTGCTGACAGGTATGAAATTCAAGTTACTTGGAATTTCATTCTCAGAAGGTAATTGCATGCTATGTGTGTCAAACTTTAAATTGGGTTGGGCACATCTGTATAGATTCACACAAAAAAATTAATGTCTTGAAGGTAAACTCATCGTCCTCTATCAATAACCAGAAATATACCTTCTTTGAATCTGATATTCCCTGACATTCTCTTGCTTGAATGTGTTGAAGTCAGATAAATCTTTAGGTTATTTATTTTGAACTATTGGATTCTGGGGTACTGCTTTAGATTTCATTTTTTTTTTTAACCTTAATTTCTTTTCCATCAGAATGTTATTTTCCTAGGAAAATATATGCATGCATTGCCCTATAGAATTTTTCTCAGAAGTTGAATGTTAAGTGCATATTTTTGAACTAATAAAGCTGCCAGTAAGAAAAGCATAGCACAGGATGCTTTTCCATTAGAAAAGAATGAAATTGATTTTAAGAAAAGTCAAGGTTTAAGGAATGTCTGATATTGTTGGAATAGTTGTTTTTAATTTGAAAATGTAAAAAAAAAAAACAAAAACAAAAAAAGTGCTTAATACCTGCAAATATGGTAGGGTGGAGGCATATCTCAGAGACTCACTAGTTTCAATATAGCAAGACTGATAAAAGATTTTTATCTGGTGGAAGGGAAAATTAAAGTGTGTGATGCCAGTTTTGGTGTTTCTTGATAACTTTTAAGCCCCAGCGCTCCCACTTTCTTTTCTGCCCCACATCTGAGAGAGCTGAGAAGAAAACTTGGAAAGTCTTACCTTTGGTAGCTAGTTAGAAGATCAAATCATGCAATTTGACTTGACACTAACATTTCTAATGTATTTTTCTTACTTGATCCTACACTGTTTAATTTCTTTTTGATTGAAGTATTTTCTGGTGAATTTTAGGCAAGTGAATTTCTCAGATGAACTCGAAGATAGTTTAGTTTTACAAACAGTATGAATCCAAGACATTTGGAGAGAGACAATAACATTTTTAAATATTTGTAGACTATTCTGAAAACTTGAAAAAATGGTTTCTAAAATAATATTCTCTGTAGTGTATCATGTATGAAAAAGATATGGCTACCCTGAGACCTGAAGTGTATTGAATTTTAACTAAATGTTAGTATTTTCAAGTGTCTTTCATAGGCAGGCTGAACATAGGGAGCAGGCAACAGATAAATAGTAACAACCTAGACACAAACCATTAATAGAGTCTTTACTAATATTTAGGAAGTAATAGAGTTAATATCTAGAGTAACTCATCACTAGATTTTTTTTTTAACAGGGAGCAGGCAATCTGAGAGTTAACCATTTTTTTCCCCCAAATGCTGCCATGCCTGTCCATTTACAGTATCTCATTGAGCATACACTTCCTATTCTTAAATTTATATCATCATTGGTTGTTTATAATAAATAGTGTAAGAACTTTTAAGGAGTTTCTATAGACTTTGGTTTTTTTTTGTTTTTGTTTTTGTTTTTTAAGTAAGCTTTATATACAGCGTGAAGCCCAATGTGGGACTTGAACTCATGACCCTGAGATCAGAGCTAAGACCTGAGCTAAGGTCAAGAGTGGGATGCTTAACCAACAGAGCCGCCCAGGTGCCCCTATAAGTGTTTTCTTTTTTTAATTAAGAGAATATTTGAGAGAAAGCTGTTTAACAATTTCTAGTTCTTTGGTTGCTATTTTGGATAAAGAGAACTAATCAATTTCTCTTCCCTTCCTTTTCTTCCTTCTTTTTAATTTTTATTTTGGTTCACTGGATATATTTCATGGTGGAGGGAATTATGTTATGTTCATATTTATAAATTTCTTCCTCCAAAAATATCAAATCAGTATATCAAGAAATGTTTATTTTATAGAGCTCAATGACTCCAAACAATAGTTGAGTTTAGATAAATTTTATTACTGTGCTATAGGAGTGCTATGGATGGTTTTCCCTATGACCAAGAGGGTCAGGATCTTGGTCACAACAGAGGCATTTGCAACAGCAGCAGGGATATTTTGGATACAGGTGAGCCATCTGCTTTTAGAAGTGTGAATCTCAGCACATTACATAATGGCTGCTATATTTTTCTCCCTTTTCTCTCTTCCCCTTTCTGTCTAGCTCTACCTTCCCTTGCTTTCTCATCCTCCCCCACTCCACCCTCCCCATCCTTCTTTTCCCCTCTCTTTCTCTCTTCTTCCTCCTCCCTATGGATTTCTCTTTTGTAAGAGACCACTCAATGGGTCCATATTCCTTGTGGGGAGTCTTTCCTAGCAATATGTTGTAGATCAGGGTTAATGCTTGTTTGAGAGATAGAACCTATTGCATAATCTTTAGAACCTATTGGTATAATCTTTCCTCTGAGCCTAGTGTGAGTCACAGATTAATTTTAAGACACAGAGATTGCTGGGCTGAGACAGATGACCTAGGGCTACTTTAAGGATGATTCTGATCCCATATCCTTTCTCTAAATGTCAGACATGGGAGTTGCAGATTTAAGTCAGCTAACTCTATAACAAAGACTCAGTGGGACTCACTAAAGCAACACAAACAGCTCAGAAGAAAGGACAAGCTAGCCAGCAATTTGTAGCTTAAAGTGCATGCTTGTTTGCAATCAGTGGAGCCAGTAAGCAGGTCAAAGCGAGAAAATTAAGATCTGTGGTGTTAGTGACCCTTGTCTAGGCATCCTGCTCACTACACCAATTGTTGGGACTACCCTGTGGAGTTGGGATGAACCCCATCTGAAACTTGGTTTAGATTTTGAGATTAATGATGTCACATACACACTAAGAGGATATTAAAAGGTATATTACATATTGAAATTTGTTTAGAGAACATAACATATCTGTCATGTAGGTCTGAAATTTGAGAGAGTAGAAAGAGAAAACTGAATTGGGGGTTTTATTGTCGTTAAGGGATGGGACTAGAATAAGAGTTCCCATGCATGGGCAGGGCTTGCATGGTTTAAATACCTGTCATTATAGAAGGAGGGAGCATCTAGGCTTTCTTAGGACAAGAGGGAGCGATGAAGCTTAAGAGCTATCGGCTATCAAATACCAAAAAATGGAGTCAGATAGCATATTATAGTTCTATATCTGAGAACCGGCAGGGAGAAAAGGCACAGTCCGTTTGGATTTGGCAAAGAGATTAATTTAGAGCCTTGTTACAGAGTTGGAGAAAAAAGAGCATGGTTAGGCTCAGGTCATGATCTCATGGTTCACTAGATTGAGCTCTGTGTTGGCCTTGCGCTGACAACACCAGAGCCTGCTGGAGCTTCTCTCTCCCTCCACTCTGCCCCTCCCCTGCATGTGCATTCTCTCTCAAAATAAATAAACATTTTTTAAAAATTGAAATTTTAGAAAGATGTCATGTATATCACATATCATTATAAGATGATATTTACATCAAAAAGTATAAAGCAGCCGTGAATCAACTCAACAAAAATGTTTGTCCTAAAAAGAAAAAAAAAAAAAAATTAAATTGTTTTTAAGGACATTAATAAGAACTTTGGAAGACTAAAAGTTATAAATATATAAATTCCAAAATTGATTAAAATTCTATGTGACTCTATTCAAATACCACCAGTTATTTATTCTTCTTTGTTTTTGTGTTTGGAAAAGTGAAAGGCCTATCAGAAATTATATCTAAAAATACTAAAATTCACGAACATACCTGGCACACTTGAAGACCCACGAGGGGAGAATTGTCCTATCATATAAAAAGATAGAGTCAAAATTAAAGAATCTAACATAGTTCAATATTGTCATAAAATAAACAGAACAATGAAACTGAAGAGAGCAAGGCCAAGCAGCCCAGGATGTATCAACAACAGGATCTTTGAACATTGTGACACATTACTGTGCAAAGAGTTAAGATGGCATGACATCTGGTTTCTATATTCCAAAATATATTGAGCCTTATAGTTATTTTTTATTTTTTTTTTTTTTTTACCATTTATGTGCTTGAGAATAGTAGTCTGCCCTTCTCTACCCTTTTTGCTTCCTGCAGAAGCAGACTTTATGAACTGTATTACATGAGCTTCCTTTTCCTGTGGCTTTTAGTTAGATTTAACCAATGGCAGGCAAAAGGAAATAGGAAAGGTAATACTTTGGTCTTTTATTTTTTCACTCTGTCAAAGTATTCTTTTTACTCTGCAGCCTTATTTCCTCAGCCATGTCTCTCTCTCCATGGCCACATCTCCTGGTGGGTGAACCCTTTTCATTTATTCCAGTGAACACCATATTCCTTCAGGCTTAAAGATGGCAAAAACACCACAAAAAAAGGCTAAAAAGTTGTCATGCCCAGAATTCGTGATCCCCAAAGACCACCAGGGAGCTGAGTCCAATGTAAAAGCAAAAGAGCCTTTATTTGAGCTAGCTCGAGCTCAGTCTCCTACCTGCACCGATGCAGTGGTGAGATACCAGGGAGAGAGAGCGAGTTTCAAAAGCCCAAAGGTTTTATTGGGCTCTAGGGGCAGTTGGTGAGGTAATGGCTGTGGCCTCAGCTGATTGGCTGGGGAAGGGTCGGAGTCCTGTTACACAGGTCGCCGGGCGTGTTTTGATTGGGAAGTTTGAACAGGTGAGAGGGAGGTTACTCAAGGGGAGGAGGCGTGGTCAAGGTGAAGGACACAGAACAAGATGGAGTCCGCCAGTGTAGGCCCACCCTTTCAAAGTTTGCATGCTGAAATCAGAGTCTGATGCTTAAGCGACTCAGCCACCCAGGTGCCCCTAAAATTCCGATTTTGAAATCTTTTTGGCTGCCATATAGAAATACAATTGATTTCTCTCTATGTATATTATAATTAACTTTGCAAAACTCATTTTATTTGTAGATTTTATGTAGACTGCAGAAAATTATAATGTATAAATAGCTATTTTTTTCTTCTCAATACTCATTTTTTAGTAACTTGTATGTATAGAGGAGGAAAAATATTTTCCCTTTGCCCTTCCAGATTCTCAGCTAAAATTCTCCTATAATAAAAGGGCAATTTAACAAAATTTAAACAGACAGAAAAACAAACTGGAGTTTAATAACGTGTATCCTTCATGTATGCATGGGAGATAACCAGGAAAACAGAGTAACTCCCTAAAATGGCCCAAGCCCTCACCTAAAACACGACCTCCCACTAAAGACAAAGAAGGTGTTGGGTAGGAGGTGCCTTAAGGGAGGTTTGAGGGCCAAGCAAAGTAAACAAGTGTAATATTGTTATGTAGATTTAAGTCATTGCCTTCTTCATTGATAAGAGTTTCTACAGATTTAGAAAGATCCCCTTTCTCCAACTAGAGAGGGAGATGTTCTTGCAAATGGAGATTACAGTAAAAAAAAATGCAAATTTCTTTTACAAAAGGATAACATGGTATTTCAAAGCCTCTCCTATGTCTATTTAAAAAAAAAATAATCAGCCTAAAATAATCCTCATGCCAAAGAGGCATAGTTTGGGGTGACAAATTCTGCTCACATACACTTGTCTTCTAGGTAAGAGTTCCAGTAAAATGTTCAAGAGAAGCAAATATTCATATTTCATTCCTGTTTTTATTTGGAATACTTTCTATTTTTCTCCATTGAGAGTCTTATTATACTTTATCAGGTGGTAAATGATGTGAAATCTTGGGGTTCAGGAGCGAACAGTCAGAAAGAATTCTTGAGACATCTTTGGTACAAAAAGGTGGTTTTATTAAAGCAAGGGGACATTGACCCAAAGGCAGAATGAGCTGCCCTGGGGTTGTGAGGAGTGGCTGATTGTATACTTTCAAGCTAGGAGGGGTTTAGGGATAGCAGAAGTCTCTAAGGAATTTGGAAGCAAGGTTTCCAAGACCTTGAGGGGGGCTAGCTATTGTTAGGAAAAGGTCATTTACTACTGTCTAATAAAACCTTAGTCATGAGAGCCTTCAGATGTTTATTTAGGGCTATGTGTTCAGAGGATGATTGCTAACATATATCTTGGGGGAGGGGGGTAGAAATAAAGGAAGTTTCCAAAGGGATTTTCATATGGTAAAGAAGACTTAACAGGATCCTATAGGATCCTGACTAATATCAAGCTTAGGTAGCCTTTTGCCTCTAGTAAAGTATTAAGGTTACTCTGCCTGTCTCAAGTACTTGTCAATGGGCTGCAAAGGAAATTTAATTTTTTCTTTATTTCTTTTACTTTTGTTCTGCACATCAGTAAATATACTTTATTATAAAACATAAGTCAAGATGTAGAGTTCATTTTGAAATTTTTTCTTGTGTGCTTGAAAAGTACGTGTATACTGATTACTTTTGATGCAGCCTTCTAAAAACAACCTGTACACAAAGCGTATTGATGGTGTTGCTTAAATCTATACACTTCTGTTTTAACCTATTGTTTATTGAAAGAAATGTGTTAAAATTTCTCACTATGAATGCAGTTTTGTCTTTTTACCTTATTTTTTGTCAACTATTTTGTTACAAACATATTTTGAGATTGCATTTAGTAAGTGCACACACATTTCTAGTGTTTCTATCTTACTGAATGATGAGGGAGCGTGGGGGGGGGGGGCGAGCTGAGGGCAGAGTATAGGATAACAGCACCACTCCCCTCCCCTCCTAGGTGACATACGTGTGATATTCCTCAGATACTCCTGGCTATCCAAGAAAAAGGAAAGGGGTTTAAGTGCTTGCCAGGGTGATGTGGAAAACTAAGGCAAATGAAAAATTAAATTCCCTTACTGCCTACAGCTCATTGATGAGTCCTTGAAGCCAGCAGAGTAACCTTCCTCTAGGAGCTCAACTGCCTTGATGATGACACTTTGCTGGGGGCAAAAGGGAATCTTAGCTTAGCATTATCCTGATACCCCAGGATCCTGTAAGTCTACTTTAATATATAAAAATTCCTTTGAAAACTTTATCTCAACTCTTCCAAGATATATGTGACAATCATACTCCAAGCTTATGGCCCCTCATATACATCTGAAGGGTTTCATGACTGAGGTTTTAAATGGTAATAAATGGCATTTCCTAACAGCAGCTAGCCCCTCAAAGTCCTGGAAACCTTGCTTCCAAAATACCTTAGAGACTCACTCTATGCCTAACACCCTCCCAACATGAGGATATAATCAGTTACCCATCACGACCCCAGTGCAACAATTTCTGCCCATGGGTCCTGTCCCCCTGCTTTAATAAAATCACCTTTTTGCACCAAAGACATCTTCAAGAATTCTTTCTTAGCCATTGGCTCCAGACCACCCCCCACCATCACCCCAAAACCCCATCACTGATGACTGACTTTCTTATTTTGTTATAACCCTCTTTATCTTTTGTTAAGTTTTTCCTTTGTTCTAACCTTGAGAGCCTTCATTTTTTGCTGGAGAAATCTGTTACCGAGCTTGATTAATTTTACTATCATCATTGGCTCACAATGCAGACAGGTAAACTCTTCGTGTAGGGGCAGAAACATTTTCCCTTCTTTCCTTCTAGGTTCTTTGGTTGGCCTAGTAACTAAATTGCTACAAGACAGATTAACAGGAGAAAAACAAGTTTAATAACAAATTTACCTGCTCTATCCATGGGAGAGACCCAAGAAAATGGAGTAATTCTGAAATGGTTGAACTCATCACCTTAAAAACCATTTTCAACTAAAGACAAAAAATGTTACGGCTGGGGAATCAGCTACAGGAGGTTACCAGGAAAAGCACAGTAAACAATCTATTTCATGTTGTTTTGTGCCAAGGATTTGTTTGACACAGGTTCACTGTGAGAGTTTCACAAGCCAAAATCCTATAGGATGATGTCTCTTAATAAGCCAATAAAGAAATAACGTACTCCAAATCAGTGATAGATTAATCATAGTACTGTTCCAGGCAAGGGACATGAAAGGAATAAAGTCCAAATTTAGTTCAGGTGTAACTTGATAGGGGTTGGTACTCAGGAGAGATGGCTTAGCCAACTGAGAGCTGATGTATAGCTGCCAGAAGTAAAACTTCCCTGCTGGGGGAACACAGAATTCTGTTGGGACCAGTGGAGCAGGTGTCGATGGGCAGGGTGATCTTAGTGGGATGACCGCAAGGCTTTCTCCACTGCCAGTAAAAGAGTTTCCTTTACCTTGGCAGGACCTAATTGCCCCAAAGGTCTTTAGAGAACTAACTATTTAGATCCGCAAAGTGTCACCTTGCCCAGGTGGAACACCTTCAGATAGTCCTCACAAATGATTGGTATTTATAGTGAAAGTGTCTCCTTGTCATACTTGCTTCTCCATATGTTTTAGTGATAAGCCCCCAGCAGATACCCTCAACAGGTGAACTATTGAGTTCTTATGGGTGAGACCAGATGAGAGATGACATCCTGACACAGGTTTATTTTTACATCAAAAAGTCTTTTTTTGTCTTTGTTGTAAGCAAGTGGATCAAAACAACTTCAGTTAAGCCATAAGCAAGTGGCTCTGAGATACTATCAAATGAGTACAACAATCACGGATCTTGTGATTTCATATCACTCATACACTCATTAATCCTAAAGGCCTAATTCTCTGTACAAATCTAAGTTTACAAGAACATCAGTCCACTCTGTGATTCTACATCATCTACAGTCTTAATCACAACTGTATTTTGGGCGTTTTTGATTTGTTTTGTTTTTTACTACACATTCTTTTACATCAGATTTTAATGACCAGTTTCAGAAGCCATATTTCCAGTTAACAAAAGAATAACAGAGAGCTCTTTTCTATGATACGATATCTGATTGCCAAACCACCAAAAGTTAAACTTTTTAAAACACTCCTTTAAGTTTCTTTGACAATTGTGTTTCCATGTAAAAGCCATTTTTATAAGGCTCCAGGGG